AAAAAGTCTATTCAATAAGGTAATAATAGATCTTGATCATTTCTTCTGGGTTCTAAATTTTAACATGTGGATTTTTGAATTTTATCAAAAAGTTTAGAGCAAAGTAATTAGTTTTCAAATGTGTATTCTTTGGAACTCTTTCCAATAGCCACAAAGTATGTACTGTTTCTCTATGTCTTAATGATTTTTTTTTGTTCCTTCCTTATACAATTATTCCAAGCTTTTGGGAAAAATATAGCCTTGACCTAATGGCTGCCTTGAATATAGTCTGCAGGATCTGTTTGATTTTCGAAATGAATATTTTGATAGTGTTATAGGAAAATCACAGAAGTAGTATTCTATTAAGGGTTTCCAAAAAACCCACTGGCAGCTCCCTAACGCCTAAATCCCTTTATAAAAGAGCATCAGGTATTATATTATTGTACTTTTAGGAGTTCAGGAGTCTACATGAATCTGTTCAGTCTATTTATATTATTTTAGTGCCTATCACATGTCTGGTAATCTCTTCCCTAGGAGTAAGTCATGTGCCTTCTATAAACTCAAAACAGGATTCTGTTAAGTCATACTGATTTATAATAATACATTCCTTTCTTTTTTTCTTTTTCTGAGACAGAGTCCCAATCTGTTGCCCAGGCTGCAGGGCAATGGGCCGATCACAGCTCACTGCAGCCTCTTTAAAGGAAGGAAAGGATTGAGAAAAGCAGAGCAAAGTGTATTCTATGCTAGAAGAACCATATTATATAAATAGAATAGAGACCTCTCAGGCTCATTAGATGAGGGGATTTTTCTGAAAGAAATTAATCTTCCTCATGTGATATTAGCAAGTATTTAGGGCAGAACAAGTCATAATCCTGAAGACACACCTGACCCCACACATCTACAGAGCCAGCAGAAATCAGGCAGACTATATTTATAATAAGGCAGAAAGTTACAAAATTTGCAAGACACAAGACAGAACTTGGCTGGTTTTGCTCACTGCTCTATTGCCAATACCTGTAAGAGTGGCAGGCATGTGGCAGACACCCAGAATAAACGACTGTTGAATGAATGAGTAAAGGGGCAAAGGAACTACTATAGAAAGGGTGGTGCTTTCCAGGAAACGCTAAGGCAGGAACACTGGGAGGCAGTGGCAGTAAGAGGGTGAGAGTGTCAAGGAAGGCCAAGGAGAGAGTATCCATGTTAGCACCTGCCAATGCCTTCACTGGGCTTGCTTTTTATGTGGTTCAAGGAAATGAAGCAAAAAGGTTACAGCACAAAACCAGTTGTGCTACATAACTACGTGCTAACTAACTACATAATTTTAGATCTATCACCTGAAGACAAAGTAAGGAAGTAAATAAACCTCCCTCAGCATCCACACTGTGATATAGCTCTGAGGAAAAGCAGCCAAGGTTGTGTCCACCTGGGGAGGGACAGCCTCCTCTTGTAGCGTCACATGCGAGCAGCAGGGGCCCCTCCATATAGACTACTATGCAGCCTTCCTCACAGAGGAAGGGGAAGAAAATTTTTTTCTTTCCCTGTCATATTTTTTGTGGTTGTTGTTTTTGGGGTTTTTCTTTCTTTCCTTTTTTTGACTCTCTGGAATCTTTCTAGCCAGCTCCTTGCCTTCTCCCCTGCCTCTTCCTAAAATATCTGTAACTACAATATCCTGACACACAGGAAAAAAATAGAAGCCTGACATATGGAACTTGTCAGGTGAGAAGAGTATGTGTGTGTCTGTGTGTGCATCCAAAGAGGAAAAGAACCTAAAACAGTGGTTATCTCTGGTGGTACTATTATTCTTAATTTTATATATTCTCTAATATTTTTATAATATCAAATATTACTTTTGTAGTAAAGGAAGACAATAAAATAACATTCACAGAGTCCTGAGGAGAAAATTGTGACCCACAAGTTTTTTATACAGCTAAGTAGTAATTCACATGGGAGGGCAAAAGGGAGAGTTTAATCATGTTTTACGTAAATTTGAATTATGTCTATTTAATATAGTATGACATAAAAAGTTTTAAATAATGTCCATTTCTAGGGTTTTTAAAAAAATAATTGAGAATCCCCATTTAAGAAGTTGTCTTACACCAAAGCTACATGACAACGTAACTTTAGCTGGTAAACAGAAATATTCACTATTGTTTGTCTATGTTTTTTGAACCATGCAATTGTGTCTGTGTACTTTCTGTAAGTGATTTTCATGATTAGTGTGTATTTTAACATTTACAGTTATTATCATTTAAAATATCTGTATATCTTATAACAATATCATCCAATTCTAATCTTTCATTACATGGTTGTGTTTATGTTAATGCTGAAAAACAGCTGAACGTAAGTTAAATGTGGTATGTTGCTTTAGGAAAGAACACTGTAAAATATTAGGAATAAGAGCAGTTACTACTTTGAGTATTTCTAAAGGGTTTACATGCATTATCTCTTTTAATATCTTGCTTACAACAGCCCTCTGGAAAAGGTACTTTTACTATCCCAGTCTATAGATGAGAAAACTAATGCTCAAAAAGTTGAGGTAACTTGCTCAGAACCACACAGCTAGTAAATAATAGAGCATGGATTTGAACACAGGCTGACTCCAGAGCCTTCCCTGTTAACAACCATGTTCTACTGCATTTTTTTCTTTTCTTTGGGGGGTGGAGGGGGGACAGAGTCCAACTCTATCACCCCGGCTACAGTGCAGTGTTGTCATCATAGCTCACAGCAACCTCAAACTCCTGGGCTGAAGTGATCCTCCTGCCTCAGCCTACCAAGTAGCTGGGACTACAGGCCCATGCTGCCATGCCCAGATAATTTTTCTATTTTTAGTAGAGACAGGGTCTCACTCTTGCTCAGGCTGGTCTTGAACTCCTAAGCTCAAGCAATCCTCCCACTTTGGCCTCCCAGAGTTCTAGGATTACAGGTGTGAACCACCACACTTTGGTCTCTACTGCATTTCTAATGCTGAGAAAATAAACAGCAATGTTAAAGAAAAAAAATGGAAAGGATTTATGAGCTCCAAGAACATATTCCTTTTACTTTACCCACATTTATATGGGAAAATTAGTCTTGAATTACATGTTAAATGAACAAATGAATGAGAGAGAAAGAATAGCCCAGCTACTTAGAAATTAATTAAAATATAATACCACCCCCCTATCCTGGGAGGATACATCCCAAGACTCCCAGTGGATGCCTGAAACAGTGGATAGTAACAAATCCTATATATACCATGATTTTTCATATACAAACATACCTATTATAATGTTTAATTTATACACTTTAGTACAGTAAGATTAACAATAATGAATAATAAAATAGAACAATCATAATACTATACTGTATTAAGTGAAAACTAAGTGAATGTAGTCTCTCTCTCTCATTGTACTGCACTCACCCTTCTTCTTATGATCATGTGAGACAATAATATGCCTACACGATGAAATGAAGACATGATGGAGCCGATGGCATGAGATTTCATCACGCTATGTGCAACAGCACACAATTTAAAACTTATGAACTGTTTATTTCTGGAATCTCTCATTTAATATTTTCAGACTGCAGTTGACCACAGGTAACTGAAACTGGGAAAGCAAAACTGCAGTCAAGAGGGGATTACTGTAAAGAATTTCAGAGGTTTTAAAGACTGGTAATAGTTGTTAAAGGAATTTAAATGTAGGATTATGTCTAAATAAATATATGATTCAAGATAAAATGCAAATGGTAGTTATAATGTAAAAAATCTGAAAATAATAAACTATAAAATCTCAGATTATACCAATAAAACTAGGCAAAAGGAGAAAATGTCTGAAAGAAAGTTACAGTTATTTTCTTATCTTACAAAGAAAAGATCTGGAAGATATTTATGGTTGATGTAAATAATTAGAAAAATTCAGGTATTTTTTAAAAAAACTTTAAGGATTGGCCGGGCGTGGTGGCTCACGCCTGTAATCCTAGCACTTTGGGAGGCCGAGGCGGGCGGATTGCTCAAGGTCAGGAGTTCGAAACCAGCCTGAGCGAGACCCCGTCTCTACCAAAAATAGAAATAAATTAATTGACCAACTAAAATATATATATACAAAAAAAAAAAAAAATTAGCCGGGCATGGTGGCGCATGCCTGTAGTCCCAGCTACTCGGGAGGCTGAGACAGTAGGATCACTGAGCCCCGGAGATTGAGGTTGCTGTGAGCCAGGCTGACGCCACGGCACTCACTCTAGCCTGGGAAACAAAGTGAGACTCTGTCTCAAAAAACAAACAAAAAAAAAAAAACTTTAAGGATTAATATCAAAATGTAAAACAAAGCATTCCTTTCAAATCACATAAGAAAAAAGTTAAAGAAAATATATTTAAAATTAGAAAGACATCAAAGAAAACATTAAAAAGAAACAGCAAGGAAACATTAAAATATTCCAGATTGCCAATTATGCAGTAAATATATTTTATTAAACTTACCCACTAGAAAGTCCCTTGAATATGATTTTCTTAAGTGTCCATAAGTGACACACTTAAAACAAAGATTTAGAAAGCTTAAGAGGAAAAGGTAAAGACAAAAAAACAAAACAGGGATTACATTAAAGTAGAATCTAAGAAGTATAAACATCACATGAGGAAAGAGTATCATTTTTTTACAACCTATGACCCAGCTCACACAACTTTATGAAATAAATAACAGTGCTAAAATACACAGAGTAAAAATTGTTAAAAATGCAAAAAGAAATGGATATAAATACTAAGGTATAGAGAGACTTCAGACATGCAATTATACACAAAAATATAAAGTTAAATAAAGGTTGTATGGTGTCAAATAATAGAGGCCTTAATCTATGATAAGAGTTTAGACTTAAAAGCAAAAGGCAGATGATTAAAATTTTTTAAAAATAATATTCTTTTGTATAGTTTTGTGAAGGATGGAGGGTAAAGAACCAACAATCTTCCTGAATGAAGGGCAATCAGAATTCCACTGCCCAGAGTCATCCAATTTAATGCATTTCTAGGAAAAGCTACCCTAAGAAGGCTGGCTCCCATCTGAGTAATACAGCAACTTACTCTTTACAAAGTGCTTTCACATTCTCATCCCTTTCAACACTACAACAGGAAGAGACAGTGACATCTACACGAGAACAGAACAGAAACTCTTGGAAGAAAGGAGTATGACTCAAGGAGGGAAATTCCTGTTGCCATAAAAGGATGGTAGTGTATAAATGCTCTGTATATATCAATTAAGAATCTCCTTTCATGTTCAGCATTTCTACTCTCTCCAAGAACAGCATCAAAGCTGAAAGAGAAGTAGCAGCAGGAACAATAAACAAACATGCATGTGAAGGGCATGGCTATAGTCTCGGCTGTGATATTCTGTGCTGCAATTGTTCAAGGTAAATGGTACTTTTTACTTCAGCCTATAAATTCCTTTTCTAATGTTTCAAATGTTCCACTTTTATCCTAAAGGACATGATAAATTTGTATTTAATCTCACTTATTAGAAGTTACTATACAGCTTTGGCAGACAAATGTTGAAATGTTTAAGGCACTAGAGACGACTATTGAAACTAGAGATGATAAACTTCCTGGAATTTCTGGTTGGGTGCCTGTGGCTCACGCCTGTACTCCTAACACTCTGGGAGGACGAGGGGTGGATTGCTCGAGGTCAGGAGTTCGAAACCTGCCTGAGCAAGAGCAAGACCCCGTCTCTACTATAAATAGAAAGAAATTAATTGGCCAACTAATATAGATAGAAAAAATTAGCTGGGCATGGTGGTGCATGCCTGTAGTCCCAGTTACTCAGGAGGCTGAGGCAGAAGGATTGCTTGATCCCAGGAGTTTGAGGTTGCTGTGAGCTAGGTTGATGCCACGGCACTCACTCTAGCCTGGGCAACAAAGCGAGACTCTGTCTCTAAAAAAAAAAAAAAGAAACTTCGTGGAATTTTTGATTTGGCTACAGTATCTGGCGAGAGCCTTATAATAGTTAATAATAGTTTAATAGCCTATAATAGTTTTAAATGTCTATTAAGATGATTTTATATGTGATCATGTTATCAGCTTCCTGGGAAAATTCTTAAAATCAAAGGGCAAACAAGCTTCATCTCCAATAAACTTCATGCTTCTCTTCATTTTTTAATGGCTTGCTGACGAGTTTAAAGAGAAAATCATCAACATCTTATTTAACTCCTTTCCCATTAATGGTTGTGTCAATTGCTATTTTTGACAAATCAATGTCTTTATCCTTAATGAAAACTCTGCTCACATTCATCCCTAGGATTATAAACCACAGCCCTCTGTTGCAATCAGATGTATCACTAACTAATGCCATGATCTGTTCTAGGTTTCCCCATGTTCAAAAGGGGACGCTGTCTTTGTGTAGGCCCAGGAGTAAAAGTAGTGAAAGTGGCAGATATCGAGAAAGCGTCCATAATTCGCCCAAGTAACAACTGTGACAAAACAGAAGTGATGTAAGTAATGGACTTGCTGAAGGTGACAATGGTGGGTTTTTTTTTATATTTTTCCATCCAAACTTTAAGACTCTCTTATATCTCAACAGTATAACCCTGAAAGCACAAAAAGGACACCGATGCCTAAATCCCAAATCGAAGCAAGCTAGCCTTATAATCAAGGTAGGTTACGGAAGGATTACTTCCTATTATAATCTGTTTTAGCCAGGTCAGATCTTTCGAAAAAAGAAAATAGACAACCACAGAAAGATTCTGCTCTGATCCTGTGTGAAGCAGTCTGTTCAGGGTTCCTGGCTGTAAATGCTTCCCTTTTTTATGTTTTCACATGTCACTGAGAAGACAGGAACAGCCCAAGTAAATGAAACTCTCATTTTCTCATTACAGAAAGCTGAAAGAATTTTTTTAAACATCAAAATGTATAAAGTCCTGGAAAAGAGGATTTAAAAATCTTGAACAAGTTTAACTATGACTACTGAAACAAGAATTCTGTCATAAGAAACTGACTTTCTCCTGCCTGTTCCAACACATATTCATCCATTTCTAGGTCTAACCTAGAACCTTCAATAAAATGTGATGCTTATAACTATTTTGCTGTGACTATGAAAACATTTCTGTATTTGATCTATATTCCATATTACTATCTGTGGTTACCATGGAGACATTAACATTATTACTGGAGTAAAGCCGAGTCAAAACCATCCATGTGTTCTAAAACATTCCTCAAATAATTTTTGCTGCAAATACACATTTATTTCCTCAAATATAATGTAGCACATAAACAGCTAGAAAAAAATTTTACACATATTTTTTGTTTTATAAAAAGACTATAATTCATGAAATATACTATGAAAAAAACTATAAGCTATGGGAAACTGAAGGTATTTCATAATTGAATTAGTAGCACTGGTCTTTTTTCCCCCCAACTTTTTTTCATTGAGATTTCTGAAGTAATTAGGATATGTGTGTTTACTGTACATTTTGGTTTTATCTATGTGTATAAATGATAGCAGTATCTTGGATACATTTTAAATATAAAATGTTTCTGTCACCAAAAAAATGTTGAAAAATATTAAAAATATATATGCATATCTGGCAATCACCTTTACTTTGTGATTCTATTTGTTATAAAAATACATAATCTAATCCATTTCTTCAGTCATGCCTATATACTACAAAATTTGGGGATACCTAAGACTAGTTTACTTTGAAAAGAATCAAAATCATTTTTCTCTAATAAGCTACCACAATCCTTCTTAAAACAGAAACCATATACTTTATAGAACATTTAAGATGCCTTTAACAATTTTACTTTATTTCAAGAAGCACACAGCTCTGTCATCAGGCAGAATTTGTTTAGAAGTATACTTCAATGAGTAGTTGGGAAGGACGGCTGTTTGACTTTTGGGGGCTGTAGGGGAAGTCGTCTTAGTCCAAACCCCGTTCTTGCTTTGGGCAAATCCCTTAATATGTGAGTTGTGGTGGGGGCCAAAAGTTAGAGGCCAACTGCATCCAAAACTGAATTCAGGCAGGCTGTTCCTACCCTAGATGTTGAACTCCAGCTGGCACCATGAAGATGCTATCAGTAAGAAAACTAAAGAGGCAGCAGCAGGAAAGTTTTACTGTAGTGGCTTCCTAGCACGTGTTCCAGTAGCATGACTTTGGCTAGTCCCTGCTGCCACCTAGTTCCCTTAGGTCCTTCCCTGTCCACTTTTCAAGCCTGATTCTCCAGTCTTCCTGTGGATTCTTCGATTATCAATTAAATTCTTTTCCTCCTTAAGCCAGCCAGAGCTAGTTTCTCTGCCAAAAGCCTTTACTGACATAGCACTCTTTAAATAGGCAGCTATACATCTGAAAAATTGAAATATTTATTATAGGATTATAATCAGGTATACCTATATTATCTACTTATAATATAGATTTATAATAAATCTACAGTATGTAAATCTATATAAATTTCTATATAGAAATGGGACTTCTATATAAACTCCCTGGATAGTTTTACAACCTGAATCTAATCTTTAACTATTTATAGTGATTTTTTTTAAAAGTCTCTTTGAAAATAAAAATTCATTAAGGCTACATAAATTTTGTATTTTTAAAAGTAGATTAAATATTTACATTACTAACAAGACAACATATACCTAAATTTCTTGATTGCAAAATAAATACACATATTAACACACTTGAACCAAGATCCTTTCCACCTCTGTACCTTTGCACATACTATTCCCTCTGCCCATTTCTTCACTAAGCTAATGCCTACTAATCACTCAGGTCTCAGCTTAAATGACATCTCCAAGAGGCCTCTGAAACTAACCCTTCGACCTCAACTAGGTTAAGTGTCCTATTTATTTTCACAACACTCTCCATTTTTCCATCACACTATTTACTGCAAGTGTAACTAAAGAATTATTTGTGGGTGTGCCCCATCCATTCCCTCACTAGTGTGAGCTCAGTAAGACAGCCACTGCAGTCCTGGCCCACAGTACAGCATTGGGCACTATACAATCAGACCCTATTGAATGGCAACAGAAACTAAAGGGAAAGGAACTTAACAGCAGAACAAGGGCATGAGGGAATGCACAGTGGTGGGAAGTATAAAGTGATTTTTTAGGAACAGATTCATTTGGTTCAAGTAAGGGATGGAGGATATCAAAGGTGTAGATAAACAACCCTGAATTTTACTGTGTACAAAATGGGGATTCACTGAACATTCATGAGTAAGAGAATGACCCTGTCCAAGTTATTCTAAATTATTTGGGGAATTGCACAGAGGGTTGATTGGAAGCACAGTCAGTGGCATTGAGTGTATTCACAATGCTGTGTGGAAGTGGGAAAGACAGGGGAAAGAAAAATCAGTTGGGAATATGTTGCAATAGCTCAGGTCTGTATTTTCCAAATTTCAAGTCATTCTCACATTGTCTTTACAATTTTTACCATAGTTCTGTTCCATCTTTATTTTTACAAACCATGTTCCACTTTATTTTACTTAAATTTATATGAAGAGCAAACTTTCACTACTGTACATGTGAAATTAGTATTACATGCCATAAAAATAAAATGTAATGATAAAACAAAATACAATGAAAAATTACTAAATTCCAACCAGATTCCAACAATGTTTGTTGTTTGCCAAACATTCTAAGCCTCAGGCCGCTTCCATATTTGTTAAAAGGGGGATTAATATAGCTGGTGAAGTGTTTGAAAGCCATGCTAAGCCGGGCGCGGTGGCTCACGCCTGTAATCCTAGCACTCTGGGAGGCTGAGGTGGGCGGATTGCTCGAGGTCAGGAGTTCGAAACCAGCCTGAGCAAGAGTGAGACCCCCGTCTCTACTATAAATAGAAAGAAATTAATTGGCCAACTAATATATATATAAAATTAGCCGGGCATGGTGGCGCATGCCTGTAGTCCCAGCTACTCGGGAGGCTGAGGCAGAAGGATTGCTTGATCCCAGGAGTTTGAGGTTGCTGTGAGCTAGGCTGACGCCACGGCACTCACTCTAGCCTGGTCAATAAGCGAGACTCTGTCTCAAAAAAAAAAAAAAAAAAAAAGCCATGCTAATACCAAGTTGAGATACTCCCTGACTTAACCAGAGGGACTGAAGTTAAAAAGAGAATAATTCATTAATACTAAATACTGTTATCAATAAGCCACCTGGTATTGTCCCCACCCTTTGGACAATACTGGTACGAAAATAGTAAGGGCTGGCTCTGTAATAAATTAAACTAAATTCCTATATAATCCAGAAATTCCATTCCTATGTATATACCCAAAAGAAATGAAATAGTTGTTCAAACACAAATGTGTACATAAATGTTCACAGTAGCATTACTGCCTCACAATAGGCAGAAAATAGAAATAATCCAAATATCCATGCACAGGTGAATGGATAATAAAATGTGGTATACACACAAAATAGAATACTATTATTCAGTCATAGTACTGAGCCATGAAGTACTGAGACACACTACAACATGGAGGAACCCTGAAAACATTATGTCGAGCAAAAGAAGCCAGACACAAAAGACCACATATTGCATGATTCCATTTTATATGAAATATCTAAAACAGGCAAATCCATAAAAACAGAAAGATAAGTGGTTGTCAGGTTCTCAGGGAGGGGTTAATGAGGATGACTGCTTAACGGGTATGGGGTTTCTGTTTGTGGTGATGAGAAAGTTCCGGAAGTATAATATGGCGATGGTTACACAGCACTGTGAATGTACTTAATGCCACTGAATTGTACTCTTTTAATGGTTAAAATAGTAAATTTTATGGTATGTGTATTTTACCACCATAAAAAGATAAGAGCTAAACTAAGGTGGTAATGGTAAAAATAGAAATATAATGAGAAGTATATTAAAAAAGAACCTATAGGACTAAGTGGTAGAGTGAATATGAAGGTTGAAACTGAGAAAAATAATCAAAGAAACTGTTAAGGATTTGAATCTCAAGTTTAGGCAGAGAAGGGAATTGAGAAAAAAAGCTAAACTTTTGAGGTTGAAAAGAATAGTACTGCCACTAATAAGAGTAAGAAACTCAGGGAAAAGATGTGCATTAGCAGAAAAAACTGCAGGTTAGATTTTAAATTACATGGAATGTGAGGTTCCAAACACTGACAGTGACTTAGAAATTCAGGACTGTTTCCTCTAATTAGCTTTCACACAGATGGAGTTTTAAATAAAACTGCTAGAAAAGGAAAAATTATATTATTTTCTGCTATTGAGTATGGTACCTAATATGTCCATATAAAATTAATATACCTCTTTGTTTCTTAAAGATTTTCACAGCCAACAATTATAAATCTTTGTGATGTGGTCAGCTCATTTTGTGGATTATAAGTAGTACACACACACACAACTGTTTGGGTTTTCTTGGGGGGAAGTGAGTGAGGCAATGTTAATGTTAGTCACCGTTTCTTGCCTTTTCTGCAAATTTTCTCTACTAGATGCTGCTAAATAAACTGAGATCATCATGTACACTGCAACTAGAGTTTCACTAAGTACCTAAGAAGAAAAACTATTTCCTTAAAATCCTGGCATTATGAATGCAGATACAGTTCCATGGTGCTGCTCAATAAACTGCTACTACCTTGGAAAATGCTGAGGTGAATTATAGACTTTATATAATTTACCATAAATCGTGACTTAGGATTCTTTAGATTGTTCACAAAGACAAACCGTCAACAAGAGCTTGAACAAAACTGAATGATGGGCCAGGTGCAATGGCTCATGCCTGTAATCCTAGCATTCTGGGAGGCCGAGGCGGGAGGATTGCTCAAGGTCAGGAGTTCAAAACTAGCCTGAGAAAGAGAGACCCCATCTCTACTAAAAATAGAAAGAAATTAATTAGTGAACTAAAAATATATAGAAAAAATTAGCTGGGCATGGTGGCGTGTTCCTGTAGTCCAAGCTACTCAGGAGGATGAGGCAGGAGGATCACTTGAGTCCAGGAGTTTGAGGTTGCTGTGAGCTAGGCTGACGCCACAGCACTCTAGCCCGGGCAACAGAATGAGACTCTGTCTCAAAAAACAAAACAAAACTGAATGATGATCCAAAATATGAAATAACATGCACTACTGAACTATATCATATCTTAAGATTCCTCCTCCTAAAAGAAAATACAACCAATGACAAATCAATTAAAATTAAAACTAGACATTTTCTGAAGCCTTTGATTAAAACTAGAACAAGATAATCATAAAATTCTAATTTACTTTAAATATATGATTTATGGGAAGGAGGGGACAGGCACCATGCTTCCCCAAAACATATTTA